CACACACACAAGAGAGAGAGAGAGAGAGAGAGAGAGGCAGAGGGAGAAGCAGGCTCCACGCAGGGAGCCCGATGTGGGATTCGATCCTGGGTCTCCAGGATCGCACCCTGAGCCAAAGGCAGGCACTAAACCACTGCACCACCCAGGGATCCCTGTTTTAGGTTATTTTTAGTTGCTTACCTGCCAGGCTATATTCAAAGAATCCACAGTAAGGAAGTGGGTACCTGTGTAGGCTGGATTTTGTTCTTGTTGATTCTGCATGTAAAAACTCTCAACATACCCTGCGATTAAACTCACATCTTGGGTGTGAATTGCTTAGACATTGCAATCAGCGAATGTTATTTAAAGCCTCCAGAAAATGCATGTTAAAGATGATTGTCACACGGAGGCAGATGTAAGAGGCAGATGTGTGACTTACATTGAGGGCACCATGTAGATAGCTATGAATTAGAGTCCCCATGGACCCCAGGGATCTACAGTATCTACTCCAAGTCAGCGTTTGGTTTAGTGACACCTTGCACTCTCTTTGCATGCTATTGGTACTTAATGGAAGATTGTTGAATGAATGCATTAGTGTTTATTACTCTGTACTTTGTTATTAGTTTAGCCCAATGTAAAGACATAGAACAATGCCCTATATAGAGGTCAGTTCTCTATTAAAATGGACTATTTTAAGCAAACCTAAGACCCTGATAACAGATGTAAAATCCACATTCCCTTGTAGATAGCAGGAATTCAATAAATATTTAATTTTTGTTATGATTTGAGCAAGAAAAATAAGTCCCTGACCTACAAATAGTTGTCAGAAAGCCCAAATACTTTGTGCCATGGGTGGGGCTGGATCACAGTGCTTCCAGAACAGACCTCTACTAACTGTAACAGATCAGAAATGCAGAGATAAAGAGGAAGGGCAGGTGCTAGGAACAGAAAGAGCAGCAAATGAAGGCACAGCTAACTGGACCTTCTACTTCGCTCTGAGCAAACGTTTCTCAAGCGGCCCCACAGAAGTCAGCACTGAGCATTTACACTTGGTGATTGATGACTGGACCTGATTCAGCTAGAAATAGATGTTGGGTTTAGTATAAGCTGCTGGGAAGACCAGGACAGCATCTAGTCTATTTTAGAGATAGTTTTCTCGATCCTTCTAACCTTCCTTCCCTCTATCTTCCAACTGGCTAAAATAACGCTATAGCCACTACCGTCTTAAGCTTTATTGAGAAAATTTACTTATGCTGGACTCCTCTCCTCAATATTGTCAGAAAACTGTGACTTTATTGTACTTTTAATAGATGTCCGTATTTGGTATTTAGAAGTCCCGATTTAAGACTGTCATCTAATATATACCAGTTATTGGTTTAAAATTCTGTTTAGTATTTCTGTTCAAAATGATATGTTACTACTTAGAGTTTGGTATGAAGCCAACTTTACTGGAGTGTTGAACTTAACAGATTCTGTTTTTTTTTGTTGTTGTTGTTGCTATTGTTTTGTTTTGTATGCCATGTAGGTTATAATGGCAGTCCAAATGTAGAAGGGAAAGTGCTTCCTGGTAGTAACGGAAAACCAAGTGGACAAAGAATTATCAATGGCCCACAAGGAACAAAGTGGGTAGGGTAAACTTTTTTACACATACCAGTTGTTTTCATGCTGCTGGGAAGAGAAAAATGGTGGGCATTGTGTAGAAATAAATGAAATGGTCTTTCGTTTTTTCTTCTCCAGTTTTAACCACTCGTACATTAATATACTTGTATATTGTTTCTTCCAGTACTCAGAAAGATCTTTTATTTTATTCTCCTGAGTAATTGGTTTGCTTTCTTCTCATAGCTAATAAGATAAGTGGGCCTTTATTTCTTGTTTGCTTTGACTGGTTAGGAAGATCACACAAATTTTTGTTCCAACCCCACAGCAATTACGTGGGCCCCGATGCTTAGCCTCTCAAATGGACTTCTTTTCCTCCACCTTTGATAGCTTTCATTTTATTTTATTTTTTTATTATTTGATTAACTAGTATACACATTTTTCTGTAAATTGTCCCAAATCCTTTGTAAAAGAAAGCAGGGTAAAAACAAATGAACAAACCAGAAAACCCTGGATCAAATGGGCAGTTTTTATCAGATCACCTTTTGAATATTTCCAACAATTGTTTGGCTGAAAAAAAAGCTACTAGTGTTCTATATAGGTTTAAGCTAAATGACTTTCACTTCCTGGGGCTGTTTAGGTTTTTTTTTTTTAGCAGGTTAGAGGGTAATGGGCAGAACATATAAAATGTTCACCAGATTTAAAATATTTTTTCAGAGAATCACGACTAGGAATTCCCAGTCAAAACCTCCCGTTTATGACAGTAAGTTTTAGGAAGACATACTGAGAGACTTCAGGAAATTTTTAGTCACTGATAAAAAGATACATTTTTGTCATTTCTCAAAGGAACAGGAATTTACAAAGGAAGAATGTATATTAAAGCAAAATGTCATTGTAAGCAATTTTCATTACACCACCAGTGTAGAGCATGAGCTTATCCCTAACAGGGATAGTAATAGCTTCTCTCCCCCACCCCAAAAGTTTTTATAATTCCTTAGAATATGGAATTTTTGCCAGCATTCTGTATTAGGCAATTTAATGACAAATTAAATTGTCTTTGTTATAGCAACTTCAGGTTTCAACATGAACAGCCAGACGGAAACATTTCATGTTTTTAATACACTAGCAATACATGTTCATGGCAAGAAGTTGAAACAATTAAGAAATATAGGGAAAAGATAATTTCTAAGCTAATAAACACCCCAAAACACTCCCCAGAGAGAACCACTGCTAACAGTTTGGGATATGTCCATCTAGATTATTTTTCTTTGCAGTTTAAGCTTATGTACACAAATGAATATATATTATATACACAAATGAAAAAATATTTTTAAAAGATTTTATTTATTTATTTGAGAGAGAGAGTTCAGAGAGAGAGAACCCTAAGTAGACTCCGTGCTGAGTGCAGAGCCCAAATGGGGCTCGATCTCATGATGCTGAGATCATGACCTGAGCTAAAACCAAGAGTCATAGGCTTAATCGATTGAGGCACCCAAGCAACCCTGATTATATTTTTATTCTGCAAAATGGTCAGTCCGTAATCTGAGTCCATAGCAGTGGATGTCAATATATGCAGAATTTCCAAATCCTTCTCATTGGCCCCTAGTATTCCACTGTGTGGATGAGCCATATTTTATTTAATCTGTTCCCTCCACTGATGACCACTTAGTTATTTGCTGCTTTTCAGCATTACACACAGCATACTAAATGACAGCAGTATTTTCAACATCTTTTGCATTATTTGAGAAACTTAAGACAATTTATATATTCTCTGGGTAAGCAATTATCATATGAAAGGGGACCCTTTTGCACTTTGTTCTTATTAAACCTTGTGAATGATGTGGGCAAAAATAATGTTTCCTACTCCTGTTATGGTTTCCTTCTGCGGAAGCTTCGTGCCTATGTTTGTGTAGGTGGATTCACACGCAGAATATTCTGTAATCTGTGTCATGGGTTTAGGTCGTGGATCTCGATCGTGGGTTAGTACTGAATGCAGAAGGAAGGTACCTCCAGGATTCACAAGGAAATCCTCTTCGGATTAAACTAGGAGGAGACGGTCGCACCATTGTGGGTAAGTGAGGATGGTTTTAGGGCAACAAAAGTGTTCTGAATTAGCTGTGGAATAATAACCCCCTGCTCATTTTTAATGGGGGCCCTTGGTCCAGTTTTTTTTAGCCAGATGGAAAGGAGTACCCCAAAGGGGCAGAGCTTAGCATTTTCCCTGATACAGCTATAGTTCTACTCTTTCTACAGACCTCACCCTACAGACTCCACCCTCCAGAAAAGGTGATGCTTGACTTCCTTCTTGAGATAGGACAGGGTAGAGCAGTAGGAGTCAGCAAATGACAGCATGAAGGCTAAACCCTGTCTGCTGCCTGTTTTTGTACTGTCTGCGAGCTCAAAATAGTTTTTGCACTTTCAAATAATTGCAAAAAAAAATCAAAGAATAATAATATTTGTAACGTGAAAATTCTATGAAATTCACATTTCTGTATCCATATTCCAAGTTGTATTGGAACACAGAAACACTCATTTGTTTGTATATTCTCTATGCTTTTTTTGCCCTATAATGGCAGAATTGAGAGGCTGAGACATGAAATTTAAAATATCTGGCCCTCTATCTTCTCTGGCCCTGGACAGATTAAGTTTGCCACCCTGAGTACAATGTAACACTCTTCCTCCTTAGTTGTAGGTGTCAAGAGGAGGAAAGAATTACTTTCCGGACTAGAGACTAAGAGCTGTTTCAGGGTAATGGGCATATTGATGAAATATTCACACAGTATCTAAGGTAATACAGAGTAAGGGACAATATAATAAGGCCAGAAATTTCTGGATCGCAGCAGATACTGCTACCCTTGCTGGATATGCTTTTAGTATTTCCTTTGCTTTTTACTGATTCAAATCCAAGAAGCCATAAGCTTTGAGAAGACGCTTTGCAGTTGGTTTTTACTTTCTCTGGATGATTTCCAAAGACAGCTTTTGTCTGATTTTGTTTCAGATCTGGGAGGGACCCCTGTGGTGAGCCCTGATGGCCTGCCCCTCTTTGGGCAGGGGCGGCACGGCAAACCCCTGGCCAGTGCCCAGGATAAGCCTATTCTGAGTCTTGGAGGGAAGCCTCTAGTGGGCTTGGAGGTTGTCAAAACAACCACCCATGCCCCCATCACAACCACACGACCTACCACGACGACCCTGAGGCCAACGACTGCTACCACCAGCCGCATGACCACCACTACGCGCCCAACAACCACCATTCGAACCACTACACAGACAACCACCACCACCACCACCACCACCACCACCCCTGAACCCACCACCCCCACTCCCACTTGTCCCCCTGGGACTCTAGAACGGCATGATGAAGATGGCAACCTCATAACGGGCTCCAGTGGGCTCCCAGAGTGCTACCCTGAAGAAGGTAACAGCCTTCATTGTCATGGTGGCCTGAACAACTAGCATATAGCATTTCAGAGTAAGGTCCCAAAGGCTCCAGGAGGGGTAAGGAGGAGGCACAGTAGGATGGCAACTAGAGGCGTTTCTAGTCACCCAAGCTTCGTTCAGGAGTCCTGTGTCACAACCAGGGTGGTCAGATTTAGCAAATAAAAGTATGACAGGGGACATACTTCATATGAAAAATTATCTGCTGTTCATTTAAAATTCAGATGTAAGTGGTCATCCTGTGTTTTATCTGGCAACCCTTATCATAACCCACGTCAAAAATTTAGCTAAAACGTGAAACATTACTAGTATACACTAGCGTTTCCCCAAGTGTGCATTACTAGACATTTGTAGATTTCTACATGTCATTTTATTTTAAAAGAAGATTCTGTGATTAGATTTAAACGAGGTTAATGATTTCTTACTGTTGGATTGTTCAGATCATTTTTAAAAATTTATTTATTCATGAGAGACACAGAGAGAGGCAGAGGCATAGGCAGAGGGAAAAGTAGGCTCCCTGCAGGGAGCCCAAAGTGGGACTTGATCCTGGGACCCTGGGATCATGACCTGAGCCAAAGGCAGATGGTCAGCCACTGAGCCAACCACCCAGGTGTCCCTGTTCAGATCATTGAATAAGATCCTTGTGAGTTTCCAAGAAAAGTAGAATGTTCTAAGTGCATTTGCCAGCTGAACACTTTCTCCATCAGTTCTCCCTTTGCAAAATGCTAATCCTTGCATAGCTGGCCTCTGGGGGCAGCAGGGTAGGACTGTGCTATTTCCTCTGCTGTGGGGCACCCAGTCAAGACTGTCCTCTGCCCCCACCGGGTCTTCCTGCTGAAAATGGCCAGTATCCCCTGAAGAATGGAAGCAAGGACACTTTGGCCGGGTCATCGTGGAGCTGCAAAGTCATCATCTTTTAGGCTTAGTCTCTGTTCAGGCTGCTTTGGAAGAGGTCATCTTGCATCTATGTCAGGCTCGGAGGAGACAAATTCACCTTCTTTCCTTTAGGTTGAAATGAATCACAATGTAGGCTGTGAAACTTATGTCTTTTTAAGCTGATACAGAATGAAGGTGCTTCGTTTCAGGAATCATTTTGCATGCCCAGAATTCTTTACGCAGCCCTGTTGACTGTAATAAGCTTGAACTTGAATGCTGTATTCAAAATGGGAATTCTGTTTGAAATCAGTCTTCTCACAGAAAAGCCCCAAATAAACAGGAACATTGGACACATCTAAAAATTGACACCAAAGACAAGGAAACATGCTGATAGGAGGGCCATCGTGAAGAAGATTCACACACCATCATTTTCTCCAGTGAGCACGAATTGGAATTTACCTTTGGATTTCTGGTATGAAAATATTATGTGCTTCCCTTGACGTTTTACTTCTACATACATTGATGTGTTGTTGTTTTTTTTAAATCTAAGTATAATTGGAACAATTATTTATTTAATAATTGCAAACAGAAGAGTAACTATATTGGATTTGGATTGAATTATGACCATTATGAATATTTTGCATTTTCTTTGGTCTACATTTATGGAGGGCTTATGGCATCTTCTTTTCATTTACTTCGGATTTTTGGACTTTTATTTGGCATGAAAGTCCATGTTTTTATCGGTATTTTTGTTTCTTCTTTTTTTTTGAGGGGGAAATCATGATATATGGTTATGTTTTTCACTTCACTTATGTCATCCTTCCACTTCCCGAGCCCAGGCCCAATTAGTAGCCAAATGTTAATTATTAATTTGCCTCTAGGCAGCATTTTCAAAATGAGTACAAATCAATACAAAGTCTTGGGAAAAAAGTAAATTCACGGAGAGGAACATATAATCTTTATATAATGTTATGATGTACGATAATTATTATTTTAAAAATATTCCATATGGCTGATCTCCCTTTTTTATTTACGCTGCTCCATTAACAAATTTATTTTCTTTCTTGTATTAATTCTGATCATAGTTATTTTAAAATTTTTAAATTATAGTTTTGAGATTTAATTCACATACCATAAAGTTCGCCCTTCTGAAGTGTACAGTTTAGTGGTTTTTAGTATTTTCACGGAGTTGTGCAGCCATCACCACCATCAAATTCTTGAACAATTTCATCACCCTAAAAGAAGCCCCATACCCATCAGCTGCCGTTCCTCATTCCCTCCTCCTCCTAATGCCTGGGAAACCACGAATCCACTTTCTGTCTCTATGGGTTTGTCTATTCTGGACGTTTCATATAAATGGAATCCTACAAGATGTCTGGCTTCTTTCACTCAGCCTGATTTGTATTCAAGTTTCATCCATGTTGTAAAACAGATCTGTACATTATTCTTTTTACTGCTGATTAATATTCTGTTGTGTGGGTAAAGTACATTTTATTCATTTATTGGTTGATGGACATTTGGGTTGTTTTCCCCTTTTGGCTGTAATAATAATGCTGTTATAAGAAGTGTGTACAATTTTTTAAAACACCATTTTCAATTATCTGGGGGCATATACTTGGTAAGAGAGTTGCTGTGTCCAATGGTAACTCTGTGTTTAACTTTGGGAGGAACGGCTAACCTGTTTTCCTTAGTGGCTGCACCATTATACATTCCCACCAGCAGGGTACCAGGCTATTGTAAATAATGCTGCTGTAAACATAATGGTGCATGCATCCCTTTGAATTAGTTTTGTATTCTTTGGGTAGATATCCAGTATTGCAATTGCAGGATTATACCCAGCATTGCAATTGCAGGATTGTAGAGTCCTATTTTTAACCAGCTTGCATTCCCACCAACAGGACACGAGTGTTCCTTTTTCTCCACATCCTGGCCACATCCTGTGTTTCTTGTGTTTTTTATCTTAGCCATTCTGACAGGTGTGGGGTGATATCTCATTGTGGTTTTGATTTGCATTTCCTTGATGATAAGTGATGATGAGCATCTTTTCATGGGTCTGCTAGCCATCTGGATGTCTTCTTTGGAGAAATGTCTGTTCATGTCTTCTGCCCATTTCTTGATTGGATTTCTTTTGGTGTTGAGTTGTAGAAGTTCTTTATATATCTTAGGGACTAACCCTTTATCAGATATGTCATTTGCTAATATCTTCTCCCATTCCATAGGTTGCCTTTTAGTTTTGTTGATTGTTTCCTTTGCTGTGCAGAAGCTTTTTATTTTGATGTAGTCCCAGTAGTTTATGTTTGCTTTGGTTTCCCTTACCTCAGGGGAGGTTTCTAGAAAAAAAGTTACTATGACCAATGTCAGAGAAATTATTGTCTATGTTCTTTCCTAGGATATTTATGCTTTCAGATCTCAAATCTAGGTCATTCATCCATTTGAGTTTACTTTTTGTGTGTGGTGTAAGAAAGTGGTCCAGTTTTATTCTTTTGCATGTTGCTGTCCAGTTTTCTCAACACCATTTGTTGAAGAGACTGTCTTTTTCCCATTGGATAGTTTTTCCTGCTTTGTCAAAGATTAATTGACCATATGATTGTGGGCTTATTTCTGGATTTCCTATTCTGTTCTATTGATCTATGTGTCTATTTTTGTGCCAGTACCATACTGTTTTGATTAAGACATCTCTGAAGTCCAGAATACTGTTGTCTCCAGCCTTGCTTTTCTTTTTCAAGATTGCTTTAGCTATTCAGGGTATTTTGTGGTTCCATACACATTTTATTTTATTTATTTTTATTTTTTAAAAGATTTTATTTATTTATTCATGAGAGACACAGAAAGGCAGAGACACAGGCAGAGGGAGAAGCAGGCTTCCGGCAAGGAACCTGATGCAGGACTTGATCCCAGATCCCAAGATCACGCCCTGAGCCAAATGCAGACACTGAGCCACCCTAGTGTCCCAGTTCCATAAAAATTTTAGAATTATTTTTTCTAGTTCTGTGAAAAATGCTATTGGTATTTTGATAGAGATTGCATTAAATGTGTAGTTTGCTCTGGGTAGTATAGACATTTTAACGATATTTGTTCTTCCAGTCCGTGAGCATGGAGGTTCTTTCCATTTGTTTGTATCATCTTCAATTTCTTTCATCAGTGTTTTGCAATTTTCAGAGTACAGATCTTTCATTTCTTTGGTTAGATTTATTCTTCAATATTTTATATTTTTGTTGCAATTATAAATAGGATTGATTTCTTAATTTCTCTTTCTCCTGTTTCATCACTGGTATATAGAAATGCAACAATTTCTGTATCTTGATTTTGTATCCTGTAACTTTACTGAATTTGTTTATCAGTTCTAGCAGTTTTTTGGTGGAATCTGTTGAGTTTTCTATATTGATTATCATGTATTCTGAAAATAATGGAAGTTTTACTTCTTCATTACCATTTTGGATGCCTTTTGTTTCTTTTTCTTGTCTGATTGCTGTGGCTCGGACTTCCAGTACTATGTCAAATGAAAGTGGTGAAAGTGAATATCCTTGTCTGGTTCCTGACATTGGGAGTAAAGCTCTCAATTTTTCCCCAATGTGGATGATAACAGCTCTGGGTTTTTCATATATAGCCTTCTTATATTGAGATATGTTCCTTCTAAACCTACATTGTTGAGGGGTTTTATCATGAATGGAAGTTGTACTTTGTCAAATCCTTTTTCTGCATCAGTTGAAATGATCATATGGTTTTTATACTTTCTTTTGTTTTTTTTTTTAAAGATTTTATCTATTTATTCATGAGAGACACACCCAGAGAGAGAGAGAGAGAGAGAGAGAGAGAGAGAGGCAGAGACACAGGCAGAGGGAGAAGCAGGCTCCATACAGGGAGCCTGAAGTGGGACTCGATCCTGGGTCTCCAGGATCACACCCCGGGCTGAAGGCGGCGCTAAACCGCTGAGCCACCGGGGCTGCCCATATCCTTTCTTTTGTTGATGTGATATATCATGTTGATGGATTTACAAATATTGAACCACCCTTGCAGCCCAGGCATAAATTCCACTTGATCATGGTGAGTGATTTTTTTAAAAATGTATCATTGGATTCAGTTTACTAATATCTTGTTGAGGATTTTTGCATCCATGTTCATCAGAGATATTGGCCTCTAGTTCTTTTTTTTTTTTTTTTGTGCTGTCTTTATCTGGTTTTGATATCAGAATAATGCTGGCCTCATAGAATGCATTTAGAAGTTTTCCTTCCTCTTTCATTTTTTGGAATAGTTTGAGAGAATAGGTGTTAACTATTTTGTAAATGTTTGGTGGAATTTGCCTGTGAAGCCATCTGGTTCTGGACTTTTGTTTGTTGGGAATTTTCTGATTACTTATTTAATGTCCTTTGCTGGTAATTGTCTGTTCAAATTTTCTATTTCTTTCTGATTCAGTTTTGGAAAGTTATATGTTTCCAGGAATTTACTCATTTCTTCTAGGTTGTCCAATTTGTTAGCATAAAGTTTTTTTTTATAATATTCCCTTATAATCCTTTGTATTTTTGTGCCATTGGTTATTATTCCTCCTCTTTTGTGTCTGATTTTGTTTATTTGAGTCCTCTTTCTCCCTTTTTTTTTTTATTAATCTGGGTAAAAGTTTATCGATTTTGTTGATCTTTTGAAAGAACCAGTTCCTGGTTTCATTGATCTGTTTTATTATTTTTGTTTCTGTTTAATCTTTATTATTTCCATTATCCTAATAGTTTTATGTCTTGTTTGTTCTTCTTTTTTCTAGCTCACTTAGGTATAAGTTTATTTGAAACTTTTTTTTTTTATGCTTCTTGAGGTAGGCCTGTATTGCTATAAACTTCCCTCTCTGAACAGCTTTGGGTGCATCCCAAAGATTTTGAACTGTTGTGTTTTCTTTTTGTGTGTATATATGCTTCATTTTCATTTGTTTCTATGTACTTTCTAAATTTCTTCTTTTATTTCCTGGTTGGTCCATTCATTGTTTAGTAGCATGTTATTTAACCTCCATGTATTTGTGGTCTTTCTAGTGGACTTCTAGTTTCATATATTGTGGTCAGAAAAAAATGTATGGTATGATTTCGATTTTTTTTTAATTTGTTGAGGCTTATTTTATGGCCTAATATATTATCTGTTTTGGAGAATATTCCATGTGCACTTGAAAATAATATGTATTCTGTTGTCTTAAGATGGGATGTTCTAAATATGTATTTGTTAAACACATCTGGTCTAGTGTCATTACAAGCCATTGTTTCCTTATTGATTTTCTGTTTAGAGAATCTGGCCATTGATGTAAGTGGGATGTTAAAGTCCTTTACTTAAAAAAAAAAAAGTCCTTTACTATTATTTTATTATTATTGAGTAGTTCCTTTGTGTTTGTTACTAACTGTTTTAAGCATTTAGGTGCTCCTATGTTGAGTGCATAAATATTTACAATTATTGTATCCTTTTATTGGATTGTGCCTTTTATTATTTGTAGTGCCCTTCTTTGTCTCTTATCATAGTCTTTGTTTTAAAGTCTCTATTATCTGATTTAAATTTTGCTATTCTGGCTTTCTTTTGATATCCATTTGCATGATAAATGTTTCTCCATCCCTTCACTTTCAATCTGCGGGTGTCTTTAGGTCTAAAATAAGCCTCTTGTAGGCAGCATTTAGATGGATCTTGTTTTTATCCATTCTGTCATCATTTGTCTTTTGATTGAAGCATTTGGTCCCTTTCCTTTCAAAGTAATTATTGATAGCTATATGTTTATTGCCATTTTATTACTTGTTTTGTGATTGTTTCTGAAGATTTTCTCTGATCCTTTCTTTTCTCTCTTCGATGTTTACTGGGTTTCTTTAGTAATATATTTGGATTTCTTTCTCTTTGTTCTTTGCATATTTATTAGGGGTTTTTGATTTGTGGTTACCATTAGGTTTATATATAACATCATCTGCATGTAGCAGTCTATGTTAAGTTGCTGGTCATTTAAGTTTGAACCCATTCTGTACTCCTCTCCCTCCATGTTTTAGATATATGGCGTCATATTTTACATATTTTATTTTGTGAGTTCCCTGGCTTACTTTTTACAGAAATATTCCTTTTTACTGCTTTTGTGTTTCCTACCTTCATACTATCATTCCTTTCCACTCAAAGAGGTCCCTTTAATATTTTTTGCAGTGCTGGTTTAGTGGTTATGAACTCTTTTCGTTTTTGTTTGTCTAGGAAACTCTTTATCTCTTCTATTCTGAATGATAGCCTCACTGGATACAGTATTCTTGGCTGCAGGTTTTTCCCACTCAACACTTTGAGTATATCATGCCACTCTTTTCTGGCTTGGAAAGTTTCTGCTGAAAAATCTGCTGATAGCCTTATCAGATTTCCTTTCCATGTAACTGTCTTCTTTTCCCTTGCTGCTTTTAATAGTTTTTCTTTATCACTAAATTTTGCCACTTTAATTACAATATGTTTAAGTGTAGATCTGCTTTTGTTGGTTTTTGGCAGAGGAAGGGTCTCTGTGCCTTTTGGATCTGGATTTCTGTTTCCTTCCTCAGATTAGGGAAGTTTTTAGCTATTATTTCTTCAAATAAATTCTCTGCCCCCTTTTACCTCTTTTCTTCTGGGACCCCTGTAATACAAATGTTATTACATTTGATGGAGCCACTGAGTTCCCTGTTTATTCTCACTTTGCATAATTCTTTTTCCCCCTCTTTTGTTCAGCTTGATTACTTTCCATTATTCTGTCTTCTAGGTTATTAACTCATCCCAATGCTTCCTCCAGCCTGCCACTCCTTCCATCAAGCATGTTTCTCATTTCATTTATTGAGCCTTTTATCTCTGCTATGTTATTTCTTATCTCCCTGTTAATGGTATCACTGATGTCTTCCACTCTTTTCTCAAGTCTGATGAGTATCCTTATGATCACTGCCTTAAATACTCCATCAGGCATGTTACTTATATCTGTTTTGTTTAGATCTCTGGCTGTGGCCTTGTTCTATTCTTTCATTTGGGACACATTCCTCTGTCTTCTCATTTTGTCTAAGTCTCTCTGCCTATTTCTGTGTATTAGGAAAGTCAGCTATGTCTCCTGCTCTCGAAGATAATGGCTTTATGAAGAAGAGGTCCTGTAGTGCCCTGCAGAGCAGTATCCCCTATTCATCAGGGCCTGGTACTTCTAAGAGTATCTCCAATATGGACTGCATGTGCTCTACTGCTATTGTGTCCTGGCCACTTTGTCCTTCAGGCCAGCCATCTACATAAGCTCTCTTTGTCTGTTGTAGGTAGTGTTTGGTCCCTAGCCTGAATTTGGCAAGTTTCACCAGGTATGTTCTGGTCTGCTTGTGAAATGAGACCTGTCACCACCACTGCCAGAACTGAGGCGCTGCAAAACTCCTGGGTCAGAAGATGAGGTGCTGGCAGCAGTTTGGGCTGGTCTTCTAGTGGAGGGGGCCTGTCATGCTGGGAATGAGGCATCTGTGACTCAGAAGGGCAGTTCTTCCAGCGTTTGGGGGGGTGGGGCTTGGTGTAAGCAAGTTTGGTAGCTAGTGTCTGTGAGCTGCTTCTTGTAGGTGGCCTTGTGCTTATGTGGATAGGCCGGGGAGGGAAATGATGCCTGGCAGTTCCTTTGTTCCTGGAGTGGTCTCTCTGTGAGTGCTGACTCTCTGGGACTCACTCCGAGATGAGTAAATAACCTCCTCATTATGTGCTCCAGGTGTTCTCCAGATCATTATTTCCATGCTGTATATTCATGGCTGTTTGCTCATTCTTTTCTTCAAGGGCAGCTTCAATGTCCTCTGGGCTCTCCCAGAGCCAAACCCACTGACCTTTAAAACTCTAGGCTTTAAGCTCCACTGGTTGCTAGAAGTCACGAAATTTGGCCCTTCTCTGTTTCTAAGCCAGTTGCTTGCTATGGGGGTTCATTTTTCCCATGCATGCTAGTATGTCTCTTGCCCTTCTCTGTGATGGTGGCTCCCTCCCCAGCACAGTAGCCATGATCTGTTTCTCTTCCAAGCTGAATCTATACACTTCTTACCTTCTTCAGTGTGGCCTCTTCTCTCCCCTTAGTTGAGAAGTTTTTTTCTGTCAGTCTTCAGGTTGATTTCTGGGGTATTTAGAATGATTTGGTAGTTACCTAGTTGTATTCACGGGACAAGGGGAGCTTAGGGGTCCTCCTACTCTGCCATCATCTGCTCCCCTTCATCATACTTCTTACATTTGCATTATTCTCTCCCATCTATAGGCTGGCCCTTTTGGCCCAATACTCAAATTGTTATTCTTTCTTGGGCTTCCTTCCACCAGCCTCCACTTGCCTGGGGCTACCACACAGAGTCCCTGCTTCATTCATCATTGGGATGAAACTTGTCAGGGCCAATGTTGGATAGAAGCAAAGGAGCAGGCATCTTCAGTGGGAATTAGCTTCTAAAGATGGCTTATAATATGAAAAGCAGTCACAATTACTCTGGAAAATCCTGTGCATTATCTATGAAATACAGTGGAGTTTGTCATTTCTTGGTCAAACACCTCGTAGTGGCCTTGATATTTATTTTGTAATTCCTGTAATGATACCGGAAAGCAAAGAGATTAAGAGGCTCTGATGTCAGCTGAGGGACAGTCCCAAGACTCCCCCTCACACATGAATTGCAGAACTACCTGTATCCTGGCTCCATGCCTCTTAACTGTGCTTTCAAGTTTGTGTTTTCCTTATGCACTTTCTCTTTTGTTGTATTAGTGCAGTCCATTAGTGCTGGAGCTCCATGCATACATAGCCAGCATTTAATGAGCGACATTTTGGCCATGGCACTTTGCAGGCTAGTAGCCTGAAATGTTCATTGTGGTAGTGGTTATGATCTAGCACCTGCATTAGTGATCACTGAATGAATACCTGCCATTTAAGACCCCCTACTCCACACCCCCCACCTAGTCACCCATTTGTTATTACATTCCCCTGGCAAAGTCCAAAATTTTTGTTTCTAGCCCTCCAACTTTAAAATAATCTTTTCAAATATCAAAGTCTTGACTCCTCTGGTTAAATCATGCACCCCTTTTCCTTTAAAACACTACTATAAAATAACATTCTAGGAATAACCTGGTGTCATTCAGTCATTCCAGGAATTCAAGCAGTATTTATGTACTTCCTCATTTGTTATGGATGCCATATGTTTATGTATATTCCTGGAAGCACAGATGTAAATTATATGCTTGTTTTCAGTTGTTGATTTTACACTTCCCTCTCTTCATACATACACACACACCTCCTTTTTGCTTGATCTGACTTCCCCATTAGATAATAAACTTCTTGCAGTAGAGACAGTGTTATCTACTTCATCTCACATTCTTCATGATACCTAATTACTTATCTTCAGGTATCTAAGCAATATCTGAAGCTATAGGCATTCTCCATTTTTCTAATTGAGAAGTAAAAGTCAGTGTTTTTTTTTTTCAGGTTCCATTTCTACAGTGGATTATCATGCATGCTTGAGCCAGTTGAACATCTTCAATAATTTGTAACATGATCGTGGGACATGTGTCAGAAAAATATCAGTCATTATGGAAAACCATTCCACCCATCTACAGTTCACTCTCAAGACAGAAAATACAAGGAGAATAATTGAAAATTCAGTGGAACTGGACCAACTGTACAGTTTACAGACATCCTTGGTTTTCAAATGGCTTTTACCTTTTCTCTAAACTTGTACTCAGAATTTTTTAAATAGTTTTGTTAAATATCTCTTGAGCTAAGCCCTAATTATTTGGTGACATCTTACACTCATTCTTTCTCATGACCATTTGGATACACTACTCAAGAGAATGAACCATACTACCATGTTGGTGGCTGCCATCTGTGGCTCTTTTATGTGAAGAGGTGGAAGCTTTTGACATTGAGGCTGAGTTGATGTAGAAAGCATCTAGTTTTATGTAGTTCCAAATGCTTCGAAATGGCAATCAGGTGGGACAAATTCTTATGGCCAATTTTTAAAAAAATACACTTTCTTACATCTGGAAGTTACTTTTACTTGGAGCTAAGATGGTGCTATTTTAGGAAAATTATGCCTGACTTTGAGCTTAAGGGAAAAAAAGGGCACTAAATCACTCAGTAGGATGTTTACTTTTGCCAGAAGACCTAACCGACACTCTCTGAAGAGACAATCCCAGTTTGCAGGTAAAAGGCATCATTTCTGTGGCCTGCTGCGCATACTCCAGTATTCCAGCACCTCAGGAATTACACTCAATAGAGAGAATCCAGCAAGGAAATGTTATCATTTTCCCTTTTCTTTTTCACTCTGGGATGTAAAAAGTATTCATTTATTCAATTATTCCTTTTTGATTTGGCTAAAAATAATAATGAAAAGAAACAAATGTGAACCAAGAATGAGGAAAAACAAGATTATCTTCTTAAAAGTTAAATTGACAAGGGAAAGAAAATGGCACCCAAGGAAACAAAAGCAAGATAGCCCCAAACTAGGTGGTGTGAACTTGAAAACTGATTTGAAACAACCCAGAAGTAATTCCTCTTGGATCCAAGAATATTGACATTGGAATGACCTAAGGAAAGATTATGTCTTAATAGTTCTTGAAATGACAGGCCTGAGCCTTGAAGGGTGGATGGTAATTTACAATCTCTGTCCTGCTGACATCCTTTGGCCCCATCAGAACACACCGAGGGTCACCATCTCAATGGTGAAGCAGGTGTCAGGGCTTCTCACAGGCCCTGGGCTGTGGGCTTCCTACCAGAAAAGGTGGGGGGTTAGAAGGCAATCAGTGAATCATAGGGAACTCACATTGGTGTGATTTGCCCGAAGGTAGAATGTAGGAGAGGCAGAAAATCACCTTCCTTCCAGAACATGTGATTGTGGCAAGATTGAGTGCATAGAGAGGATGAAGGGGTGATGAACGAGGGAGCGCACAGGTTGAAGGATTTTTATCCCCACCCTGGGCAGCAGTTCCCATTCTCCTGCTTTCTGAGAATGCCTATTCTCAGGCCTGTGACCTGCTGAGCCAGCCTCCTGAGAGCTGCCTGGGCAGGTGGGTAGGTGGACACGGTGTGTGGAGGGGAGGTCAGAAGGCACTTTATACTGGGGAGTGGGCTGCTGAGAGAGGTGGCTTTCCTCTGATGCCCAGGGGGTGTTCTGAGCACCTTCTCTGAGAGTAAAGGAGAGGGAGTCTTCCTTCTGAGAAAGCTGGGTGGCCCTGACCTGGCAGCTGACCCCTGTGGAAGGATGGTAGGGGTTGAACACTGTGCCCCAGGCACAATTCCCAGCCACTGAGAAGAAGCCTTTCACCCCTCTTTGTTCACTAGATGATTTCTCCGGATTGGAGACTGACACTGCAATGCCCACAGAAGAGGCGTACGTTATCTATGACGAAGGTATGAACTGATTTTACACAGTTTGGATTTGGACAGTTTCTCTCATTTTGATTACTAAGTGGATGATCTCAATTTTTGGAGTTTCCTTCAGAACTTGGGCTGCATGGCAATGCTCAGGGAAGGTAGCTATAACCCAGCTTCCAAGTTAGGGCTCCCGTTCATATTTGATCCAAAGAAAAACAGTGGGCTTCATACGTGAATGTGGCCCCCATACTGCAGCCCTCATTCTCTCCCTACCCTGGAATTCCCGGGTTGCTTGTCTGGACCTCCACTTCCACTGCCATTTGTGAACTTCTACTGTCACTGGTTTAACCCATCACTCTGCTTTCTCTCTTGGCTCCTTTCGTTGTTCTCTTTTCTCTCCTTTTCTTTTTTTTTTTTTTTTAAACAAAGTTTCAATTATTTATTTATGATAGTCACAAAGAATGAGAGAGAAGCAGAGACACAGGCAGAGGAAGAAGCAGGCTCCGTGCACCGGGATCCTGATGTGGGATTCGATCCTGGGTCTCCAGGATCGTGCCCTGGGTGAAAGGCAGGCGCTAAACCGCTGCGCCACCCAGGGATCCCCTTCTCTCCTTTTCTAATTAGATTTTTTCTTTTTAAAAATGCACTGCTCTGAGGGTGCTGGGGTGCCTTAGTTGATTATGCATTTGACTCTTGATTTGGGTTCAGGTCATGATCTCAGGGTCATGAGATGGAGCCCTCCGCTGGGCTCTGTGCTGGTGTGGAGCCTGCTTGAGATTCTATCTTTCCCTTTGCCTCTTCCTCTCCCACCCTCCCCTGGCTTGTGAGCATGCCCATGCTCTGTCACTTTCTCTCTCTCTCTCTCAAAAAAAAAGTAATGCTATGGAAATGTTGATTTTTTTTTATCACAAAATTTTTTTCAAGTAGGGGTAAGCTTATAAGATTAAGAATGCAAATTGCCTTGGGTAGAATCTGGAGCAGCCATTCAGTAAATGTAACCAGTGCAGATTTTCTATTCATGACCCTGTGGCGGTTCTGTGTGTTTTATAAGTTGTGTCTGCAGTTTTTGCTTGGGCATCTTGTCTCCACTGTAAGGCTGGCCTTTGACACTCAGGATATTCTCACTTTGGTTCTTCCTTGTCTGCTGATATATGTGGCTCCAGTGCCATCAAACCACCAATGTGAGAATAATGTCACCTTTGATGCAGTCATAGTGAAGTTTGAGTTAGTGGTTTCATCTCACAGTTTTGTTTTGTTTTTTAAGATTTTATTTATTCATTCATGAAAGACACACAGAGAGAAGCAGAGACTTAGGTGGAGGGAGAAGCAGGCTCCCTGCAGGGAGCCTGATGCGGGACTCAATCCAGGACCCCAGGATCAAGATCTGAGCCAAAGACAGATGCTCAAACACTGAGCCACCCAGGTGCCCCTCATGTCACAGTTTAAGAAAAAAACTAACTTAAAAACAACAGATGTCAGAAGAAAAAAGTTTCTTAGCACCTTTGAAAATACGGTGCTTGTTTCTTACTTTCTTATTATCTTGAGCAGTTGAAAGGGAGCAGAGTTTTCTTTTTTAAACATTAAAGGATTAGTTTTTAAAATAGAATTCATCTCACCCCCTCCCCAGCAAAGAGGCCCATAGGCAGAAGGTAAATTTTTTAAAAATAAAGTTTATTTTCTGATGTGAATCTTTTATGGCTCTGAAAGAGAAAATTATGTAGGCGGAGAATGGCCAGGGGCCAGGAACAGGAGCATGCTACACCGGTTGAATGCTAAGGTTCCCGCTCTAATTGTAAAACCTCATTTTTCTGCTTATACGTGTTTCCTTTTCCTCTTCCTTTCTTTTATCTACAGCTGCTTTTCTGAGGAGACTGAAGTGGGAAGAATATTGTTTCATTAGGAACAAATTATGTTCAGGCACAGCATTTATTTTGGGGTGTATGTGTGTGCGCTTTAGTTTTGAGTTGAATGTTGAGATGGTATCTCTTGGCTGTTCATGGTGCTCCTTTTCTGGAAGGGCCCAAATGCAAAGCCTTCATATCATTTCAGATTATGAGTTTGAGACCTCCAGGCCACCGACCACCACCAGACCCTCCACCACGGCTACGGTGCCCGAGGTCATCCCAGTGGAAGGCTCCATCAGCTCCTTTCCTGGAGAAGAGTTCGATCTGGCTGGAAAGAAACGATTTGTTGGTAAATAGAACTTCCTTAATCAGAGAAACATGGGTTTTTAACTTTTTTTCTTTGAGGAAGAGCATAACTAATTTCTTGGCCTGGCTGAGGCAGCGCATTTGGAGCAGAAGCTTTCCCAGAGTGAAGTTTCCATTTGGGGTGACTCAGTGAGTCAGTCCTGCTTGAAGGCACATAAGCTTGCTTTCTGCAGGAGTCAGGAGAGGGGATTATGCAGGAAAATGTTTGGTATCCAACAGAGTTGAGCTTTGAGAGGCTGCCTCCTATAGACCAAGGGGAAGGAACACTGGTAAACATCCTCAGGACCAGAACACATGACTATTTTTGTTCCAGTAACTTTTCCAAGCTGGGGTGTCCACTGGGCCTTGCCTATACATTGTTAAGTTCTTCCTAAAAGATGAGCAGCTTACTGAATTGAGGTACTGGTACTTCTTACGGTGCCACAGAGCCAAAGCTGGTTTTCTTCTGTTTCTGTAATTTTCATTAGCCTCGGGGACTTGGGATCTAGAAGTTTACTCTTCTTTCTCAGTTATTAAACAATTTCGAGAGGAAACTCTATTTCACTAAACTGTGCTTCACTCCCTTCGGGAGTCTTCTTTTCCCATGCCCTTAATGAACTTCGCTAACGAGACAGTTAGATTAATACATTACTAAGTGGAAAAAAATATTACCAAGTGGAGACAGGCAACAGCTTAAACCAATATCACACTTTTCTGTTTCCAAAACAAATGTTCTGCCATAAGCAGAGAACAGCTCTTGCCAGCCAAGATGTAGTATTGAGTGTCTAAATTTCATGTGCTTGAAGAACAAGAATATTAATGTGAGGTAGCATTCCTGAGGCAAGCACTAATGCTGGCCCATGGCATTAAGCAGCCTGGCTGAATTCACTGGATGTTCTGGTCTTCCTCTCTGTGGCTCCAGGACAGAAATGAAAATGCTTTCAGCGCTATCATTTGCTGTTCCACAGAACTCTACCGAAGACCAGAAGGCTTACTTTTGTCTGGCTGGTCCTATGTCTATAGTACAGAAGATTTTAGTGGTTTCATCTAAACCCCAGAACCTCCTGATTAGATCCATTGACAGGCTCTCAAGACCTGATTGCATACAAATTATTGGAAAATAGAGGATCTAAAAATTGCTTTTAGCCCCAGTGGCCACCAAGAATGAGAATCTGTACCAAAAGATGCAATGGAACATTTAGAAAGTACTAGAAATTGTTACTTAAAAGCACTTGAGAGTCTTGCATGTATGAAGCCCCAGCTCCCATTCCTTGACATTTCTTATATGTAAGAGGGTATATAATAAGGAGATGTGGGCTGGATGTAGAGTCTTCTTTTTGACCCTAACTTTGTGGGCCCTCTCAACATCAGTAGGCTCAGCTGAAACATGGGATATCAGTCCATGTCCTGCTTTATTTCCAGGGATAAAGAGTGTAGAAATTGTATCCACTGAGATAATGTGTGTAGAAAACCTTGAACCTGTT